AGCTCTCTTTTTGACCATTATCGCCGTACACATTTTTCCGTAAAGTGGTGTTTAATATTAAGAAATGAACAGGCATTTACCATATGTAATTTGCTTATGCGTTGCAGCTGTCATTGAGCCCATATGTAACTCATCAACACTCATCAGTTACTGTATTTGTAACGGCTTGGATGACACACAACTCCCTGCACTGTGCCATTTTGGCTGACACTGTCCCCTGCTACAAAACCAGTTTCCTCTAGTGTCCTATAGTGGTCTTGTGGTGAGTGAATAGTGTATTTCTGTGGTGAGTGACAGTATATTACTTCTATTACTCTTACCATCCCAGACAGTCTTCGGGGGCCTCTGCTAGTTAGGTAATGACTCCTTTAGGTTTCTTCTAATTGATACCAGTACGTCCCAGGGTATAAATCAGTCAGGCAGTGGTCAGATAACGGCTTCCAGGGAGAAACCGACACGGTAAATCAGTCTCAGATCCTATCTAATCTTACCCAAGTGTTTGCCAGAGATGTATTTCACTTTAGGAAGATTTCCATCCACCCTGTTCCACCACCCACTTTGTTCCCCGGGTGTCATAGGTTGTATGTTAGAGGGTGTGCTGGTTTGCACTGTTGTACTGATAAGTCTATTGTAACAACATGACATATGCAGGTGTAAGTCAGTGTGCTCATATATGTGTTTGATCAAAGTTAGTTCAGAATTCAGTTTCTCATTATATTGACACAAACGTCCTATATTGCATCTTCACCCACACAAAGACCAAACCCCCAGTAAACCAGTGTGTACACATATATATATATATATATATGTATATATATATATATATATATATGTGACAGTGTGTGTTTTAGTGCCCATATTCATTTCATTCAGTGGAGCCGCCTCAGATACCCCCAAAACAACAGCTGTACATTTACTCCAGTGTCTGTGTGTGAGTGAGTGTATCGCTTTTCCATATGGGACAGCCACGTAATAAACAGTGACATAAAACAGTATTGTTGTTCATCCCCACACCATGCTTCTCTGTAAAGTTTTATGTAGATGGTTTAGGTATTTATCGGGCGTGTGTGCACATGTGTGTCTGTCTGTAAGGTGTGGGGCTGTATTAAGAGATGATCTGATGATAACTGTCCATTCATTAGCCTCTAGTATGGATCATTTCTCATACCACAACCACTGTATATGCTTGAGGTCAAAACTCAAAAAAGTTGCTATTTTTTTTCTCATTATTAAGCAATCTCATGCTCTTTCAGTTCGCTCCCATTTTATCTCTTTCTTTTTTCACTCCATCATTCTCTTTTCTCCATTGTCTTGTCTTGTGGCTTTTTGTGCTTTTTATTCATAAAACACATAATTTGAAAAATACTCTGTTCTACCGTGAAAGTGTTGAAATGAAAAGCTCTTTTTATCATACATACTTTCATCGCTTTGGTTCACCACAGAATAAAACAAATAAGCTCTGAAAAGAGCCGAATTCTTGCTTCTACAAAGATCTTTTAAAATGGCCAAAATTGTTGGTACCCCTTAGAAGTGGTGATAAACAAGTTGATTGTAGTGATGTTTCAAGCAGACTTTTGTCTTTAATTGGTGTCACAGGTGTCTTCAGTCTTATAATCAGTCATTCAGCCTATTTAAATGGAGAAAAAGTACTTATTGTGTTGTTTGGTATCATTGCGTGCACCACACTGAACAGGGATAAGAGAGGAGAAAAGAAAAGGGTTGTCAGAGGAGGTAAGGAAGAAATGGTCAAGGTAAAGGCTATGACACAATCGCACACAATCGTCCTGTGACGACAGTTGTTAATTTTATTGAGAAGTTTAAGGTCCATGGGTCCAGTCCCTGGACATGGCTGCCAGAGGAAAATTGACCCCATATTGAACAGAAGGATAGTTTGAATAGTTGAACAAGAACCAAGGAAAACTTAAAAAGATATGCAGGTTTACCTCTAAGATCAAGGCACAACAGTGTCCACCAAATGTCACTTTCTGAATGAAAGTTCTGAGGAGGAACCGTCTTTTGAAAGTTTAAACTGGAGTTTTCGATAATGCATATGGACAAACCACAGTGCTTAGGGGAGACTGTCCGTTAGACAGATGAAACAAAATGAGAACTTTTTGATAAGTCGCATCAGCTGTATGTTCACAGAAGAAGAAATGGAGCTTTCAAAGAAAAGAACACCATTCTCGCTGTGAAACATGGAGGAGGCCCATTTGTCTTATGGGCTTGCTTTTGTAGCCTTGAATCTGCGCAGGAAAATGATGAAGGCATTCTGTAGAAACATACAGCCTGGTGTCAGAGAGCTCTGTCAGTCACAGGTCATCTCTCTCATATCACAGGAGAATGACCCAAAACTTACATCTAAAAGCACCAACTAGAAAACATTCTGATCCTATTAGTCTTAATCCAATGGAACATCTATGGAAAGAGCTGAAACTCACTGTTGGGAGAAGGCACTCATCAAGACTGAGAGAACTGGAAATAATATATAATGGAAATAATATGTTACATCGAAAATCAAAAGCAACTTGACTGTTCTATGAAATATGAAATAGAGAACAGTGGATGCCAGTTACTTGGTTTTTCTGTTAGTGGAAGGGTTCCAACACTTTTGGCAACGTCATGTTGAAAATAAAGGCACACAGGTACTGCCTGCCTCATGCTCCCGTACTTTCCCAGTTGGATTTTTTTTTTCCTTTACATTCCTTCCTCTCCTTCCTGCTAATAGTGGTTCTTCACAGCTGAGCAGTGTAATGTCTTTGGGCTGTCCATCTCTGGAGACAAACCTACATACCACTAACATGGTCATTCAGAGCAGAAGCAGGGATGGAGAGAGGATGGAGAAATGTTCCTGTGACTATTATTCAGCCTGGATGGAAGATTGGAGTTAGGGATCAAGAAAGAAAGGGATTCCCCCCTCGTTAAAACCACTCCCAATTAGGGTGATTTTTGCTGGCCGCTGTTGTTGGCTTTAACACCAGGCACTGCGGTCAACTGGGCTTTAAATGACGCGTGGTGAGACAGGAGAGAATGCTTTGATACCGATTGTGTGTGCGCAAATGTGTATGTGGGGTGTATCTGTTTGAGTCTGGTTGTGCGTCTGCATTTACATCTGTATGTATGCAGGAATTTGGATGTGCTTTTCTGTATGAACTTTTGTGTGTCTGCAACCTAAATGCGTCTCAATTTGTACATGCTTGAATGAAAGATTCCCCATTTAACAAGCCAGCTTGGGAGTTCCCCTGTGCTGACTAATAAGTCCTAGCCATGAAAATAAACCCGATGTCAGTAAGTTCAGGGAGTAATCTCTAGCAGCTCTTTCTGCGCTGCAGCACCAGAAAATATTAGTAGGTAAACTAGAGTTTTTGGGCTCTAATGTTAAAAAAGATGTTTCTTACTCAGTTTACCAGGCCTGAAAAAAGAAGCGAGTCCAATTGTCTGTCATATCTTCATCATATAGATCCCCGCTCTCTTCATATGTTTTTCCCCAGGTGAAACCCAGGCCCAGAGAAGTCTTTCCTCAAAGGACTGAGATATAAATAAGGACTTTTTTTTTTTTGTATATGTGACCATTTGCTTACCATTATCGCATAGTTTTTTTTTTTCAGTTTTACAAATAGTTACCCTTGTTGTTTTGAATGTGACAATCAAACATTCCAACTTTTACAATTTCTTTCTCTGTCTTTATTCTTTACTACTGTTAAGATTTTAAAAGTCAAACAATGAAATATTAGGAACTGTAATATATTTCTGGACTGAAACAGGTGTGCTGCTGCTTTCGTTTGCTTTCTCAGACTTGTAGCCAAGCAGACTGGTGTGAGAATTTTTAAAAAGGCATGTTTAAAGAGCCGTTTCTCAGGCCAGTATTAGTCATCCAGGGTTGAGGTTTCCAAATGGGCTGCTGCTGCTGTATCTTTAACTGACCAGATCAGCCCTCCCATGTCAGTGACTAGTAGAAGGGTTTTCAGCCCAATGATTTATGGGACCAAAAGGACAAGTTCAGGGCAACCTGTGATGATAGTGGCACATCTCTGATTTAATGGAAACGACAGAGAACGCTTAAACTTTCCTCATTAAATTGGGGGTTTTGCTACTTTTGGTTCTTTCAGGATGAGTGGGTGTTTGGCTCCACTGTCTGGATTCCATCAGGGTTTTCTCACTCTCATCATGTCTGCTAAACCTTTTCGTTTACCAAATCACAGAAACACTGACTCTGAACTTGAATCTATACAGATTCAGATTGGTGTAAGCATGACCCCAAAACACCTCTGTTCACAGAGACATGATCTTAATAACTCACGCTAGTTTTATGTTGTTAGCCTTAGACCCAAATATTGTTAAAGTGGAAAAATGGTGCTTTCTTCTTTCAGTGTTTACACTAATAATAACAGATGAGCATGATAGTTTTGAGGCCAGTGATGTGGAGTTTGCTGCTTTGACATCACACACTTAACCTCGAGTTTGTTAAACAGTTTTGTTAACAGTTAAAGTAAATATTACTTAAAAATGTTGATTTAGATTGCATTATTTAACCAATCTTACTATATTGTACTATAATTAAGGGAACACTAGTCTCTCTGATCTAGTCTTTGTAACTTAAAATGCTGAGTTGAATAGTTGGAAAAAGTTGCTTTTACTGCAGATTTTTAAGTACAAATAATTTTATTTTTTTTTGCCAGACTGGTGTAATTGAACTTTGTACAAAACAGAGACAGGCACTCATGCAACTGAATATTGAGGTTGAATTGTTTATGCATTTAAATTTCATCTGGCCTAGTTATAAATGTATCAGTTGACTGTGTAATTATAGGTAAAAATATCTTAGTATTAATTTTAGACATTTTTCCTGTCTATTTGATCCCTCTTCGTTCTTTTTTTCAACAAATGATTTTGTCAACAGGGTGTATCAATAACACTTTCTCTCATCATTTTCTTGACATATTATTTACCTTTTTACCCTGTGCCGTACATGCCATTCATTGCTACTTCTTCTGTCTTCCTAGATGCAGTTCAGGCTTCCTCCGTGCTACTGGAGCTGCAAGATGTGTTGGTGAGAACAGGGCTGAAGGACCGAAGCCATCTCCTGCTGGGGCCGTTCTCCTGCAGCACCTCCCTGGAGGCTCGGTGGTGTCGGCACAGCGGCAGCCCTGGACCTGAGCCCGGCCCCCCTAAACTGCTGCTGGACCTCAAGGGAGGCCTGCTACAGGTTTGCCCATGACATCATTTCAGCATCCTCAATCATATAATTTATCAGCCAACACAGCTCCGGTTTTTAGAGGTCAGGGTCACATCAGCACCTCTGCACCTGGTTGGGATTGAGTGTCTTGCTCAAGGACACTCACCCTGAGGGCTTGAGTAAGGCTCTTCCAGTAAAAAGAACAGCCTCTAATCACGAAGCAATGCTATTGGCCACTAAAATATCATCTCTGTTCGAGTGGTTTTGGTTTCCAAATTAATCCTTACAGTATTCATGAGCTGACACCCACAGACACAGCTCATCACACACTTAACACTCCTCTTAAATTTACTGTTCCTCTTCGGTTCTGCCATGGCTTCTGGCCTCTTTGCAGCTGAAGTGATGACAGTAGGAATTGCATGCTGTAATTCCACTGTAGATTTGAGTCATCTGCTGGTTAAGTGGTGGAATATTATAAGGCTATTTTCAGGGGTGGGGTGGGGGTTGTATCTTATGTGTGTCTTTTTTCCTGTGAGAAGTTACATAATGTCCACACTGAAAATGTGACTAACTGAACGCATTATTACCAATGTATTATTCCACATTACTTCTTCAGGGGTAACCCCCTCCCCTACTTTGGATGTTTCCCTTATTTCCCTTCATTTCGTGCCCATTAACAAAAACATCACTTGCAACTCAACACTTAATACGTAATCATACATTTCCCTTTGCAAATACTGGCGTTTGTGGCGTTTTAATCAAGTGCTGTACAAAACCACCAGAATTCCCTCCGATTCCTTCTTCTCATGCTTTCTTTCCAAAAACTTGAAAAAAAAAATCCCCAAATGTTCCTGTTTTTAGAGTTTAGTCATAACCCACCCTTGCAAGCTAGTGAGAAGCGGGCAAGCAGGCAGCTCCATGTGTGAAGAGTTTTTGACTCAGAGATTCCTGGTCCTTAGTCCAAACCCCAGACAGACCCGCTTTGATGGAGCACGGGAAGGGGAATGCCACGGGTAAGTAAAGAGGATGTAAGGTTATGTTAGGTAATGTTAGTAAGGATGTGAAGGGGGTGATGATGTGGACAACCCGGACTGCTTCTCTTCCTGTTTTGGAAAACAAAGTTGAATAATTGTTGACTCAGGTATTTATGCATCAGCTGTGGGTCTGTGCCACTGTCTAGCCTTTTTGTTTTCACTGTCTGTTTTTTACTTTAATTACTTCCCATATCTCTCTCTCTCTCTCTCTCTCTCTCTCTCTCCCTCTCTCTCTCTCTCTCTCCATCTCTCTCCATCTCTCTCTCTCTCTCTCTCTATCTCTCTCTCTCTCTCTCTTTCTCTCTCTCTCTGTCTGTCTTGACCTCCTTGTTTTCCTATGTCTCTGCTCATTCCCCCTAATGCACCCTTTCCCGCCGTTCCATACCATCCAGCTCACCCTCTCTTGTTCTGTCTCCACAGATCTTCTGGGGCCAAGAACATCTGAACTGCCTGAAGCTGGTGGAGGAGCACCTGCGATCGTACCTTTTCCTCCAGAAAGGGGATTCAGCTGATAGCAGTTCAAAGGGCAAACCCTGCCACACACAGCCACCTCCCTCCCCAGGCTCCCCCTCTCCCCGGACAGAGCACAGCTCAGATGACCTGCGCACAGGGCATTTTCACTACATCCAGGACTCAGGTGAATGTTTATACAGTGCATGCTGAGCTCATGCAGAGATGACATGCGGCTCACAATATATTTAGCTATACAACTATTTTTAAGTCTGGCATTGATAATTATACTATAAATAAATATATTGCTTAAAATACTCTAAATCCGCTTTTGAATTGACACATTGGTTGAACTGTTCATTTCACATAAGAGCTTCAGATGTTCAGCAGTAGAACAAACTCACGAAGACTGATTGCTCGTGGTGGTTTATCAGCTGGCATTTATGTCACTAATTGCAAACAGACAAAATTGCTTTTTAAAGAGATTTATCAAAGACTCAAAGTAAAATGATATTTCTTGGGCATCGATTTTCCTCCTTTCTTGACAAGGTTTTCAAAATGGATGGAACAGTGGTAAGCACTGCTCCCTGAATCCATAGGATGAACATCATTCATAAACCTTTGTGACAAAGTGAGATGTCACTTAAGATACACACAGGCTTAAATCAGAGTGAGATCAAAGCCCTCTGTGGAAAGAAGTTTCATCGGACATGTCTGCCTGGTTCCACTCTGAGTAACATGCTGTTTATTCCCCCTCTTTGTGCTTTGTGTGTGCTGTCCTCTACGTGCACACACACAGACACACACAGGAACATTATACACAGAGGATCAAACTTCTGCCTGGCTGTAGACCAGCCGTCCACTCTGTCAGCTGTGGTTGAGTCTTTGTTTGTTGCACCGTTCCACTGATCTTTGATGCATTTACTATGCTGACTGAAGCAGGAGAATGTACAGTAGTGAACTAGAACAGAGGGGGCAATCTGTCGGCAACATGTTGTCAACAGCCATGGAAGCGGGCCCCCGAATAGAGAGAGTAGCGAGTGGCCCCTCGGGGGCCTGACACAGGGATAGATGGTCAGGGGAGTAGATGAAAGATGGATAGAGACAAGGGTGGAAGGACTCTCTGTCTCTGTCTCTCACTTTCTCTAAGTTCAAGCAAACACAAATGAAAGCAAAACCTCATGAAAGTGTCTTTTTTCCTTCATAAGAACAATACACTGTCCACCTTCAAGTGGGCAGCTCACTGCTTCACAAAAAGGCTAAAATCAGCCACAGACAGACTTTGCTGCCCCTTGAAATGTGTTTTCTACAAAGAGAGTCTCAGTGTTTGTAGCCCCAGGGGCCAAACAAAGCAGAAGTTCTCTGCCTCACTGTTTTTTTCAAATAAACATTTTTCCAAAGGACTTGAATCACAAACAGCAGCCACGACTTAAGTCAAACACCACTCAGAAGTTTAGATCCAGTGTTATCCAGCTGTTGCAGGTGCAAGCCATGGTTCAATCAATGGATGTTTAGTCAATAGCAAAAATGTTTACTCAGCCACTTTGTTTATATACGGCTTCTTACGCATATAAACATTGTGAGCGTGGAAACATCCACAGTGCTCTTTTAGGAGATATTGTTTTGGGGGGTTCAGATTCCATAGTAGAAATAACCATAAAAAAATATCACTGCACCAAAGATCCATGCAAGTCAAATATAGTTATTCTGCCACAAAAGGTGAATTTCATAATGTGAAAAGAATGATTGCATCAGTGTTTTCATCAGATTTTTTTCCAACCTCTTTCTTCCACAAGCATCTGAAAATATTCCAGGAGGCCAGTGAAGCTTTTGAACAGGCTCTTTGTTATGGAATTTTGTGGCAATGGGTTTTATACTACTAGATGTAAGCAGCACAGTAAACTCATAATCTACTGTATCTTAATATAAAATCCAGCCAAATTCCAATCTTCTTTTATCTGTTCCCGTCCACTATCATATCCCTTCCTCCTCTCTTCCTTGTTTCAACTATTCTCCTCATCTTATTTTCTTATAGTCTTATCTCTCTTACCAAAAGCATTGCTCTGAAGTCATTCTGATATTATTGTTAATTCCTCGCAGCGTCCCAGAGATCGCCAGGACCCCATGAGGTGGTGTTCTACAGCGAGACGGAGGACAGCCCGGGGGTGATGCTGTGGAGATACCCTGAACCCCGTGTCCTAACCTTCGTCAGGATAACTCCTGTCCCATTCAACACCACAGAGGATCCTGAGATCAGCACAGCCGACCTGGGGGATGTCCTGCAGGTAGAAATGCACACGTACATGCATCTGTTGATTGGAAGATTTGTTAAAGTATTATATTCCCAACACATACCACAGCTAGTGGTAAAGCAAAGAGTGGTAATGTGTTAAACACCCATATGTTACAATTCATTGGATCATTTGCATCAGGATGTGTGGTCATCTACTACAAGCAAGAGGGTGAAAGAGGCGTAAAATGAGAGGAGAATCTCACTCACTGCTCCCTGCTTAACATCACCTGCAATGAAAAAGAAATAAACTGTCTTAGAGCTGGGCTATGTGCCATTTTGATTCCCATGACATGAGTCATGAGAACTCCCATACCATACATGTTATTGAATGACAGAGACCCCTGCTGTTCCTCCAAACATGTAATACACGATCAGACAGCTGTGGAAGTCATTTTGCATGCTCTGGTGTGAATAGCCAGGTGTCTCCAACCCCAGATGAGGTTATATTTTGGCAGGCTGTAGCAGCTACCGAGTCTTCAGGGCCTCACTGGGGGACAGGACATCCCACGTTTCCTCCTATCACTCATCCCCTGCCTTTCTTTCTCCCGCCTTTCTTTCCAGCTTATCATCCTCGAAGGCAAGCCGCGTCCCAAATCATGTTCTTTCTCATCCTCCACAATATTCTTACCTTTTTCCTGGAGCTAAAACCATTCATGTTCCTGAACAAATAAATTATACCTCTTCTTTTCCAGCTATGTTTAGTCAGAACTTATTTAAATTTCCATTGTTATTGTGGTTTTAAATTCAATTCCATGTATGAGAAGTGATGCTAGAGCAACTGATAACTTATCAGCTGCTGGATTAGTAAAATGTATTAAAAGAATTGGTCAAAAGTGTAATAAAATCAGCTGATATAATAAATTCATAATTATTGCTTACATCTTTACAATGACTGGTAAGCACGAGTGGTAAATAATTTAAAAGTAAAAATAAAATAGAATAAAGTAAAAATATTTACTATGACAAAGTAAATCCCAACAGACTTTAGTAAAACATGAGTCAATCTTAATGAGGAGTATTTATCACAAATTAAAGTTTTCATCCTGAAATTAATGGTAGTGGTAGGTTTTATTACATTCTCAGCCTGTTTGTAACGACTTTTTAATTGCATTTTTTGAGCCTTGGGGTTGGCTTCCCTTTCTTCCTTTTCCTTCTGCTTCTTTCCTCCATCTGCAGCAGAAGTTTCTCATCTTTCCATATCCTCCCTTTATCTCTCAGATTCTTTCCTGGACTCCCACAATCATTTCACCTACAGTACAGATGTTTTCTTCAGTCTGTTTATGTGTGCCGGCCCAGGAGAGGCAAGATATTGGAAGGTTCTGCAGATGTCTGACTTCCCAGCGAGGCCCCACAGCTGTAAAGTCTGTAATGAGCAAAACTCCAAAGCCTCTAGCTGATTGGCTGCATATTGAGTTACAGCGCAGAACAGATAGAGCTGATGTGTGCAGAGGAGGGAGGGCTAGAGGAAGAGTCAGTGATAGACAGAGCTGAGATAAGGAGAGGATGGTTAATTGGAGTAGATTGACAGGAAGGAAGAGAGAGAATTGAACAGAGGTGGAGTTAGAGGATGGTCATTATATATATATGTGTCTGTGTATATATATATATGTGTGTGTGTGTGCACCTAAGTGGGTGCCTGCAACTACAGACATATGCTTATCTGCATGAGTCTGTATTACGCAGCAGGAGATGTGGAACCAGTGGTTGATGAACATGTGGTTTCCACATCTTTCACTCCACTCCTCCTGTCATCTGGCATGATCCTGTCTCTTCTGATAAGTCTGTTAAAAGGAATCGGGTGATGAGACTTCTATGGGGGAAGTGGTGAAAAGAGGACAGCTAAGAAAATTGTCAAAACAGTTGTGCAACACTAGTTAGCATCTATTTCAAAGGGAAATGCAACTTCAACTCATAGAGACCACAGTACAGACCATATGTAGGTACATCAGGAGTGAGTTTCCTAATTCTGCTGCTTGTCTTTCTGTCCACATCCATGTAAACATTCAGGCCAGGCACTGCAGTAGACATGTCTGCAATGGGCATGTTTCACAAAGGTATTGTTGGTAACATTAATGGAAAACATCGCTCGCAAAGTGTACATGTTAAACTGGCTTAAATCCATTGTTGAAAGCTACTCTGATGCATTTTGTCAACACAGCTGAAAACAGTATCATGTGTCATGGACCTCTTGAAAGAAGTGATTGTAAAGTAATTATAAGACATTGGATCCATTAACTGATATGTTACACTGTCCTACTTACCTCATATTTTTGTCCAAACACTCACATAGCATTAAGCCACTTATGTGTGAGGTTAGAGGTTGGATTTGTGGGGGTTATTTCAACTGGACCTCTTAGTCATCAGCCAAAGTCATTGTGATCCCAGATTTAATTTGATTTCCGCATCTGTGAGACAATGACAATGATTATGCTTTCCTTTCTACAAAACCTCAGAAGTCTCAGTTATTTCATTTTTTATTTCTCCCAAGACCAGAAAGTCAGCCCAGCTACAGAGAACGGAAATGCAGCCATAAAAATCCAAAAACGACTAATGGTTCAGTTTCCATTCCAAAGGAATTTCATTTACTTTACATCAAGAGTGTGCAGAGAGAGAGAGAGAGCGGGAAACAGAAAGAGGGCAGTCATAATTTCTCAGGCCTCTAAAATTACCATGTGGCCACGCAGAGATGGAGGCTGATAGATTTTGAGAAATGGAAAGTGAGAGGCATAGGGAAAGAAAAAGAAATAAGGAGAAAAGAGAGAGCGATATTTAGTATTGAGCTGTCTTGTCATTTGTCACTATCATTTAGCCGGTAATGTTTTTCCAATTTGGGGCTGTTTACCAGCAGGTGGAGGGTGAAAAAAATTGCAGATGAACAAAGTAAAAGTGGCTCTACTCCATATTTTCTCCTTTCCCTCTCTCCGTTCCTCCTCCTTTCCTCTCTCTTCTCTCTCCTTTTCTCCTTTTGTTGCACTCCCCCCTCCTCCTTTCCTTTGCTCCCTCTCTTCAGCGGAGTGCGCTGACTAGATGAAGGGGGGTTTTGCTCGTCCCCAGAGCATATCATATTAACATTTTATAAAATCAAGATTTCCTGCATTTAAATAGTTGTGGTTTCCCAACTGGTTCCAGTATCTCACAGGGGGAATTCAAACTTCCTTCCATTACTCTAAGTCAAATTGCTGCCTGCACTGTTTTTACATACAGTAGAATGGGAGCGTCAGAGTGATGGGAGGGCAGCTGAAAAGTGACAGATTCCTGGTGAGGCATCCACAGGTTCCCACCTGTAGAGGGCTCAAGTGATGAAGGGATAGAGGGAGAGAGGAAGGTGACTCATTCTCACCTTCTTACTGCCATGAGGTCCAGTTCTCTGAATCATAAGCAGGTGTCCTTACTGCTCTTTTTCCATCCCTCTCGTTCGTCTTCCCCTCCTTCTGCCTCTCTGTGGGGTTCTCAAGTCTGAGAAACAGGGAGTAAACACAGGAGCTATGATTCAGCCTGACCCCCGCTCAGGGGGGAGCAGCAGCAGGAGGAGGAGATACAGTATGTTAAAGTAGAGAACAACAGCTTGAGTTCAGCCTCAGCATACAGTAAAGAAAGTCTAACACAGTCTGTTCTTACGCATATTCACATTTGCTTTTTACTCACGCTAGTTTTTTTCAATATACAAATGTTTAAATTTGATCATCCACTTGCTTTTTGAAGCAGTTGCCCAAATTGCACTGGCTTTTTCAGACAAACATCACACCATCTGTTCCCCTGCTGTTGCTTTCGTGCATGGCACTGTGGGATAGCCTTTCATGTCCCAGCAGGGCTCTGTACTGCCACCAGACTGACTGCTGCCCTGCTGGACTGCAACCGATATCATAAAAGCTCTGTGGCCTGAGATGAACCGGCAACCTTCAGCCATAACCACTACTACAGCTGTCTCTGTCATTGTTATTATTATGAGAAACACAGGTCCGCCATCAGCTTCACATCCACAGCGTGCCACTTTTTTATTGATGCACACTTTTTCTCCAATTAGAAGAAATATGCAACCTTTTGTTGGGAGTTAGAATCAGTGGGGAGTCAGTGGGGTATTTCACTTCAGAGCGACACACTGAACCAGAAAGAGTGAGAGTCTATTTTAGCCAAGATAACTATTATTTTAGTGGGACTGCGCTCAAGCAGACCTGCATTAGTCACAGCTAATGCACTATAAAAATAAAAGACTGTCCATGTGGTTAATTTGATCTGGAGTTCTTACACCTCATCCACCAAAACTCCAGTCCCTCTTTAAAAGTTTGGCATTAGAGAGGAAACAAAAAAAAAAAAGCTGAGCACAAAGACCTCAGCATGGGCTTATTCTTGATTTTCCACACTGATTAATGTTAACGTATATTAGCCCACCTGAGACAGCATAGCAGGAGTCATTTTCAGAACAATTTTCATTACATCTCCTGAGTAAACATTTGCTCAAGCTGATGTCAATTCAATTTGTCTGCTGGCTGATAAGAAGTAGCTAGCAGTGGAATTTTTAGACATATAGGCATCAGTGAAATAACAGAAAACCTAATGGCAGTGTTGATATTGTTAATAAAAGTAATGGCAGACAAGGCTGTGGATGTCAACAGCCGCAGCCTCAGAAGGAGCTCAGGGAGTCTTCAGTTGCAGAGACATATTTGAACTTTAGCAGTGATCACACCTGGGTTGATCATGGAAATTGAAATCCGTTCTGTATGTTGTGTATTTGCTTTAATTTTCCTGCCTTTACTTAAGGTTTTTTATAGACTGCTTGTTTAATTAGTCCCAGAAAAGTAAATCCATGAAGTCGTAGCTCAGCAGAAAGAGGTGGGTGACAAGGACGGAAATCAGATCTGTATATACACGATGCTTTTAACACGCCTGAATGTAAATATATTTGTAAACAGTTCTGAATATTTAAACTACTTGAAAAGTCTTCAACTTAGTTTTCCAGCCAATTTGAACCCCCTCCAAAATGAAACCTTGACTCAAAAATTAAGATAACATCTAAGATAATCCTTCGTCTGATACTTTCGAGCTGCCAGGCCGACTTTGTGGAGTGCTTCAGGAAAACACAGATTGGGCCCATCCAGCCAAGGGAATGTCAGCTATTTAGGGTTAAATGTTGTTTATCAGATAAGGTACACACACACAATCAAGCAGCGGAAACTGACACTGCCCAGACTGTATCATGCACTCACATACATACGCACACCTGTGTATACACATATGTATACACGAATATTGTCTTTCATACATGCAATTATACATAGTCGTCCTCCTGAACACATATATACAATTCATCTGACATATACACAGGTCCCTTCTCCTTCCAGAAGCCAGTGCCAGACGTCCAACTCAACATAGCTAAAACATTTATTTCATTCTTTTTTCTTTTTCCACCTTCCCTACAACATTCGTTGAATTGGTAATTGATTTCATCTCTACTCTCTTCCAAGGCCAGGACTGCAAGTCAAAGGGAACATGACGCAAATTCAACCGTGCAAATGTATTCCACTGTACCATATATGTACCTCACGTATTCATTTCTGTATGCTGTCATGTGTATAGAATATCACAGGTGAAAAAAAACATGGCTTGTGTTTTAGCAGCGCAGTTCTGGGAACTCTCTGTGGAGATTCAGTGAGTTTCCTCTTCAGTGGCTCAGTGTTGGGGTTGCGGGTGCACAACTCTGTCAGGTACAATTATGAGAACTTGATTCCAGGAAACCTGTGTGGCATTAAATACATGATGTAAGCTATGGTTACTTCATCCATCAGCCACACACATATGAGTGAACAGACACATACTCACACTCTTTGTGCACAATCCTCCCCTCATGGATGCGTACACACCAACTTGTTGACAGTTGTGTGAGTTTGGTAATTGTCCAGGGAGTGCCATACCTCTGGTTAACTATTAGATGTTCACATACACATGTACACAGACAAATGCACTCGCTCCTTACACACACACATACACACACATAAGTCTTACTGCCTGGCATCCTTCAGGTGTGCTCCTGAGAGCGCCCTGCCACTACTGATCCATCAGTAGCTGAGTTCTGCAGGTGGTCGAAGTAACCCGAGCACCTGGTTTAGTTCACACAGGAGCACCAGACACATTTATGCTAATTTTGGTTCAATCTGAGAGGAACGAATGGAGCCCTTACCGTCATCACATAATGTGAGAACACTCACATAAGCTGATTGTTATTCAGTGTGAGAAACAGCTCCAGGACTTCAATGTTAATGGCTGACTTGTAGCATACAGTTGCCGGGTGTTTAGTTATGCTGTGGTCATGCAGTGTTGTTATGGAGAGTTGTCGCCTTACTGCCTTGGTGGTCTGCGGTCAAAGTGTTGTCATTTTTTCCGACTAGACGAGAAATTAAAGTTTGGTTTGGTTTGGTCTGAAGTGTGTAAAATTCAAAATTGTAAAACAGACACCATGAAAAATCACTCGCTCATTCTTTCTCCAAGGCAGGGATTCCCTGTGTCAGTAAAAGATCAATGCTTGATGATCAGCAGACCACTGCAGTTGCTTAATACTTTATGCGTAACTAGGGGATCCAGAGGACTCAAGTATACCTGTTGTGCAACAACAAAACTTTACAGGAATCCTACAGCAGATGAGTAATCAGGGTTACACTGGGGGTGTTACAATAGTTTGTTTGGACTGCAGCCTTAAGTTTAAGTAATGAAAAACCGAGGGAAACAAAAGTAAGATATCCACTAGTGTCCATCTGAAGAGGAGACTAAGTTGCGAATACAAAACAGTCAGTAAAATACTGTCATCCGCTAGAGCAAAGCCAACAGCTACAGAAAGTGATCCAGTGATAGAGACGGTATCATTTCTACAACAAAGCCGTACATACAGGTCCTCTGGCATGTTACTGATGAGTATTCAAATATATTCAACAGCAACAGTAACGGTTTGAGAAAGTGTTTCAGTAGAAAATTTGTTTCAGTAGTTGCAGAGCTCGCTGTAACCGTATAAGGCAACACAGAGGGATGTAACCAGGCACATTCGTTATGCTGTGACTTTGGGTCCTCATGAAGTCATCATGAAAGACATTTCCTCACATTCCCTCCAAGCTCCCAACTATCTGTGATTATTATAATCTGTGTTCAGGGGTTGTCAGCAGATATTAGCTGTACTTGTACGTAGCTGGATTTTAGTAATTATTGACCAGTGTGAAGAGCTGTGCACTTTCTTCACTGCGACTCTAGATGAGAGAGGAGAGAGTTTGTGCTTCTGGGATTTTCTGTCTCTCCTAATGCCGCCTGTACAAGAATGAAGCTACCACAACTGTTTAACACTTGATGAATTTGTTTGTCTAGATGCTTTAGCTGCTATGTAGTTCTCAACATTTATTAAGGACTTGACATTTTTTCAAAAGTATTTCTGAGAGCCCAAGGAATCGTTTATCATTTTGTCTTTAGAGCATCATAAAGTATTTTTGTTTTTGTTATTTTTATTTATGTTGAGCTCCAAGGAAGGCAGCCACAGAGAATTAGTCTCTTTCTCAAGGACACTACAACAGGGCAGTCGCTTGTCATTAAGGGAACTTGAACTTGAGTTAAAGGACACTAATTACTAATTATGTGGTGCTGCTCCACTTAAGAGGAATCAAGAGCATGTATAAAAATAAATAAATAAAATACAGTATTTGGAGGTTGCATATTTAAGATTTTTGCTGTGACTTTCCTTCCAGGTACCATGCAGCCTTGAATACTGGGATGAGCTCCAGCAGGCCTTTGTTCCATACCGGGAGTTCAGCCTGTCAGAGAGCAGTGCCTGCCAGCTGCAGCTTCCCAGCCTCAGCCTCACCGACCAGCAGAAGGAGCTGGTGGCTTCAGATCTGTGGAGGATTGTGCTCAACAACAACGGAGAGGGAGGAGATGAGCAGAGGTGACAGAAAATTCTACATTTTATCTTGTTCTCTTTCTTTGTGCTTGTAGGTATCTGTGCATGTTTTGTGCGTGTCTGTACACCCAACTCGTGTATCAGAGAGCATGTATGCCTACACACAGATATGTGTTTGGATCTACAGTACATATGCCGTCCAGTGTGAGGGAAAGCAGAGAGAGAGAGTGCACCCAGGCCGCTGAGCACAAAGAGCTAGTAATGTGTCCCTCGCCCCACATCTGGTGTGCAGGAGCAGGGAGCGGGCTTGGAAGGCGTTCAGATTGGCCTAATGAGATTTCCCAGCACACCAAGTGCCTGTCAGGGCCCATCCGGATTCCTTCCTGCTTACCTTGAGTGTATCTAATCGAGGGGAAGCTCACGGGAAGCAAGAGGAGTAAAGCCCCCTTTGGGTTGGCCAGGCCAGGCCAGGCCAGGCCTGGGTTGGGCTGGGTTGAATTGGGATGGGATGGGATGGGTTGGACTGGGCCAGCCAAGCAGTGTAATAGCTCAGAGAGCATGCCTTTACTCCCTTTTTCTCGCTACCACTGCTTTCTCTCTTCATGTCTCTCATGTCTCACCCGGCATTCTGTTACATCTTCTGTGCTTCACCCATTTTTCTTTTCTCTCTGTCTTTTTCTCATTCTTTCCTCATCTTAATCTACTCCCCTCCTTTTTACTTCCTCTTGGGATTTAGGAAACTTTTAGTGGAAGAGAATTGCCAAGCCCACATTCTGTGTTGCTTAGACAGCTCCAGAGGAGCAGAAAGGGAAGAATAAGAAAACATGTAAGAGAAGAAACAGAGAAAAAACTCTGCAGAACCAGATACAGTGTAAAGCAAAATATACATCTGTGCTTCATTACAATCATACTCCAAACACTACATTTCCTTTATGTTTAAATTATTTGTCTTTTTTGATCAAAATTGATTCCCCTTTCCTTAGTCACTCGTTTCATCTGCCTTACTTTAGTTTCCACCAGAAAAATAACTTGGCTGCCCTGCCAACTGGAAGTAATGAAAATTGTCAACATATGATGCTTATCTTTTTAAGGAGCACTCTGCTGCACCAGCATTTTTCAGGTCTTGAGCGTTTCCTGCTGGAGTTTTTATAGTGGATCATGGTAGCAGCAAATTACAGAGCAAATGGTCATTCACTTCAATTACCTTCCATTCAACATCATCAACCATGACATGCAATTAATGGCTATGGAGAGATTCTCCTGGAAACTGTGACAGTAATAATGCACCTAACCTCACAGGCTCGGACAGCGAAGAGGCCCCCTCCACATCGTTGTCTCTTTTCATTTCTTTTTTTCTGAATAATTGTAGCGTTTGTCTAACTGCAGATTTTTGACAAGGATGTCACAGAGTTTGTAACTCGCTGGGCAAGAGACAAAAGCATTCAGCTACTAATAAGAATCAGACTATTCTAATTAGTCAGTTGAATTTTTGTGGCCATTATTCCACAGCTGTGCTATGGTTTTGATGTTACAAAACAACGTTTGATAAAATCAATAACCAAAAACTGTCAAATGGTGAATCACAGTCCTATATTACTAATTTTTCTGCATTATTATTTCCATATGAAATAATATTGTGCCTTCCGATTATGTTTTCTCTTCATTCCTTTGCACTTTTTGTGTTATTTCACTTTCAGAAATATCTCTTCTGTAAATATTATCAGCTGTCTTGATGTATGTGCTCTTCCCCTTCAGTTTGGATAGTGAGTGTGGGTCCCAGGTACCCTGCGATCAGCTGGTATCTCCAATGGCATTGGCAGCCTGCACCCGTGTGGACTCGTGCTTTGCACCCTGGTTTGTCTCTTCCCTGGGCATGTCCCTACAACTGGCACAGCTGGAAGTTCACCTCTGCCACCACCTAGAACAGCTGGGTACAGGTAGGATATGGAATACACAGTCACAAAGTCTCCTCTCTGAGTTTGAATAGTATTAGGTTTATTAAGAAGAACTGTAACAGCACTATTAGAGAAAGTCACTTCAACTCTTAAATTTCAGAGCAAATGCTCATTCCCATCAATTACCTTATATTCAACAACATAATAGCAATTAATTGTGGTTCACCTGGAAACTGTGATGATAATTGTCTACCTTCTAAAGGTCATTGATAATAATCTATAATAGCTTGTAATAGTCTTCTATTTGATGATTGTGTAACTGCTCAAAACGCACTTTATCTCACTGGCATTTATTTGTCTGATCTCTTCTGTAAAACCCACGGCTATGCTCATGTGCCTGAGGTTTTTTTAATTCATGTATTTTATATTTGTTCTTTCTCCTGTAAAGCTGTTTGGATTCACTGTGTTGTGTTTAGAGTATTATGTTAATGAAGTTGGCTTGAGCTTACTTACACTCACTGCCCCAAATATCAATTATTCATTTTTATTTTGCAATAATTAAGAGTCTGTTATCAGTCATGTTATGTTTATATGTAACAGCCTGTCTGTAAGTAAAAATAATACATGTCATTCTTCTAGTTCCATCGCGACAACTTCGTCCCTTCCTGCCAGACAGGAAGTTACCTCAGGAACAGGAGTTCATGGTGATTGGTGCTCGGGAGCCAAGGGTATTCTTGCGCCAGTGGAGTAATGGACCACGTCACTGTCAGGAGTTCAGCTTTTCCACCCAGCTGGGCTGCAAGCTGCTGGAATACCGAAACGTAACACACCTCCAGCTTCTCCAGCCTTGTACACTACAGGTAGAGCTCAGCTGTTTGTTTTGGTTTTATGTCTGTCCAGATATTTTGATGTATAAAGCATTGATCAGGGAATGTGGGTAAAAATGTTAATTTAGACTGTGATTTCCTGTGTGTTTCAGGGCCAGGCTGCAGCCACTTGCTGCCCCCAGAACACCACATTGGATGTGAATGTGTTTGTGGACCCGGTCTTCCTCAACATCAGCCAGTATGCCATCCACACTGTGGACACTGCCGTGCACAGCTGGCAACAGGTGACAGAAAGTTCAATCTATTGAGACTGCCACACACTTTCTATTGAACCATACTTCAAAGAATACAGTAAAATATAAGGTCCATGAACTGATGTGCAAAAAACAAGCTAATGATCAAATATTCATGTTGCTTTCAGAGCTTGGGAATAATGTAGCATGTTAGAGGTCCTGTAGGCTGAATATGTCATTAAATTAACTTAACTTAAGCAAAATAGTGGATTTCCTACATGAAATGTACAGAGGCAACATCCAGGCAACTTTTCACTGCAACAAAAGGAAACACATTTCAAGTAATCAGTGATATGGTCACTTAAGTTGCAAAGTATTGGAGGATGACTTGTTCACTTGTACGTTTAAACAGTGGGATGCGATCAGACACGTAAGGGAACATGGGGTTTGCGCTGTTGTTTGAACGATGTTTGATATTTGGAGGCAGGGGCTAGTAAAACTGTAGAGGAAATCCTTTGAAATGTATGTACATTTAGAGAATATGCTGAAAGACGGCCCTTTGTCCCAGATGGAGTATCAGCTAAACAAACTCACAACAAAGTGGATTTTATGAGAACAGTTTTGGTTGTATGCCAGTGGTAATGCAGGATGGAACTGCCTCTCAGTTAGCTGTAAACTCTGACTAAGAGGATACAGTGTATCTGTTCTTGGGCGTCTATGGTCCTCGTCATCTCTCAGTTCTCAGCTCTCAGCACAGCCTCTGGTAGCCAGGATATTTGTGTGTGAAGTGATGCCCATAAAAACACGGTAAAACTTGAGTGGTTACACCTGCCAAGATTTCATCTGGCCCCTGTCCTCCACCCACTTGTCTACTGCACACGCACACAAATTCATACACACACACACACACACAAACACTGGCCTCTCTGGCTTTGCATGCCCTATCATGGCTCTGCTCAGCTGTGGCTGTGCTGACTCATATATTGGCCTCTTGAGACGTGAGGTACTCTCATGGTTTTACATGCATGCAGAGTCTCACTGCCAGGTGAGAGAAAAATAATAGCTTATGATTTTGTAGAAACAGCTGTGGTCTTTTACCTGTGAAAAATAAAGCTGTATAGAAAATCTACTATAAAATAATAGCTCTGGCTCACAGATTAATACCTTTGTTTTCACTCAATGGCATCACTGACTCATCAAAAGCTCTAAACCAACCGTATTGGTTGATGGGTCATATTTGACCCTTAGCTTCATCATTGCATCATTTAACACAAGCTAGTGAAAGTTCCCTATTTCTACTGGTTAATTTAGCCATAAATAAGATTTTAGTGCGTCTGTGGTGTTGTAATGAAAGGTCATATTGCAGCTTTACTCAAGTGTTTTGGATATGTTATGCACACCAGGTATGCCTGGTGGGCTTTACCCAACATGCCAAGTGTGATTAGTGAGGTTATTCATTGCTTGTATGCTCTTAGCCAAGGCTTTCCTGATACTGATTGGATTATATGTTTGGCTTTTTCAATGCCATCTTTGCCCAGTGTCTTGAGACCCAAAATAGAGGCATATGATGCACACACAGAATACCATTCTTCACTCATACACTACACAGTCACCTCTAAAACAGGCATGCTCACACTCGAACACAAACCCAGATTGGTGGATTTACATGCTCACTGGTATGGGATTGATTCATGGAATGATTAAGCCTGCTGTATTTTCTTGATTGGTCTAAACAGCAGCAGCCTTGTAACTTGTTCAGAACCTTTTATCTACCTCCAGCCGTCACCACTTTGCTGAACACAAGGGAAAAACACACCATAATTATAAGGCAAATGTGCTGCATGTGGATATGGTAGTTCTGGAAGAAGGGGTAGAGAGAGGTCAAGTACAAAAGGCTGATTCTTTAGGAAATGCTCTGCTTAAATATTTGGTCCATTTCACAGGAAGTTGTGAACATTTCAATCATGGAATATTGTTTCCCTTTTTGGTGTTTCACTGAAACACAATCTTGTATGTGGTGAACCTTGTATGGGTTCGATTAAGAACAAGCTGTCTGGTGGTGTAGTGCACTACAGGGATATTTGTGAAGGCCGGCACCATTAGGCTGAAATATATCTTTGATCTGATGGAAGCTTACATTCCAGACACACACATCGTCCACACAGAGAAAAACTTGATCCTAATTGAAAATGTAATCAGAAATGTTAACAGGCTCTATCCTTCTGCAACAGAAGGATGTATCCTAACATGTGTAATTGTTCCAGTGATTTTCATGTTTCCTGGTGTCATGGCTGGCAGGCAGGCCTGTTATGATGTGGCCTGCAGGGTGAGCATTGAACTGTGGAGAAGAATCCTCAACTACCACACAATTGAAACCTCACAACCCAGGCATGGTCACACTAGACCACCACAACCAGAGCAGTTGGAGCACTTTCAGATGAAAAAGCAATAAATAGAAATTAAAGACACTTCTTAGTGTATGGTTGTAATTTACACTTATATAGCCATAATCTGTTATAAAACACAGTTGCAGTCATGGTAACACGGACTGGTCTTGTGTCCATGATAACTTCACCATGACCTTTCTGGCAGCCTAATGGATTCTTATTAATAATTATTAGTTAATTAATGTATATTCCATCTATTACAATACTCAGCATGCCACCAGTGCAGTAGTGTAAGACTAGGGTCAAATTAATCTTTAGTTATGCCCAAGAAGACTAAGCTAAAACTACTATATTGCACATTTTATAGATGGTTTCTTGGTTTTGAAGATGGAGGGAAAATGAATATAGAACAGCATTTTTATTTTATTTTTTGTCTTTTGCTTCCTCCTCTCCTTTTTGCACTCAATAGCCCCATATGTCCCCAACCTCAGCCCCCCACCACTTTAACCTCAGGCCCCATGCCTCCATTTTCATACACAGTCCCCAGCCCCACTTTCGATCTTTGCCCCCCCCCCACTCCCCCACCAAGCTTCTAACCCCAGGGAAGTGGCTTTGGTGGAAAGCCACACAAAAGCCCAGTAGTATTTACACATTCTGCTTTCTCACAGAGCGTTCACAGGCTGTTACATGTGCAGTTGAGACAACAGAAATTTTCCTCATGTTATTTTTTTTCCCTTTTCTTCCCATGTTTAAATGATTCTCTGCTTCCCTTTGTAACTGGAAATAAAGTGACAGAGAGATCATGTTCCTGGTTGTAACAGATGTGTTAGCAGGGGTTATCTGTGGAGGAATATATAGCTGATTTTAGATCTGATTAGTATTTCATTGTGTCCCTTTTACAGGTTTCACTATCGCCTCCATGGTGTTTTGTTTCATGTGTATTTCTCTTGAGTGGGTGTCGTTATTTACAATCTGTTTTCCAGACATTTTACTATACCTTGTCATGTATATGTGCGCCATTCTGCCATGCAGATCTGGGCAAGACTCCTGTGAAAACTAAAGCAAAAGTATCTGGATGGATTAGGGAAATGGACGCTTTGATTCCTAGTAGGACTGCGTCTAACGATGAAGCTGTCATCTTCTGCTCTTTAACAAGGAAGACATGTTGACTTTTAAATATCTTTGTCTTAATATTTGTCCATTTAAACTCCCAGTATAGACAGGGAGTGATCATGATTACTGCTGGAAGCTTTTCTGATGTGTGTATCATGTTGCCTCATGAATCAGAGCAGAAAGACGATACCATCAAAGAGAGGGCTTAGCAATGGCATCTTAAGATGGCAGCAGGAAGTTTGTAAATCGCAGTGTTGGATTCAGAAGGGAGCAAAGATAGTGTTCCACTATAAAACTGGAAATGGATTTCAACCCACTGTCGCAGCTGTCCCATCTATATTTTGCTCTCTACCTCTCTCTCTCACACACATCTATCATCAAGTGTTCTTTTAATGGTGTAAACTATCCCATCCGTTTTCAATAGCATCAACAACCCCAGGACCCTGAACGTGCTTGGCAGTCAAACACTGAGCTTTTACTGCCAGCCTCTTTTAACCATCAACCATCAACCATCAACCGCCCTGCCATTTAAAAGTATACAGCAAGCTGGGGTCCCTCTTTGTTGGGATAGTTGAGTAGTTATTGAGAAGCTGTCTCAACCTCAGTCATGTGTGTCAAGAGTCAGGGAGGGGTGTGCAGGAGAGATCCCATCAGGACCCGAGAGCCTTTGGAAAGAGCTCAAGTAAAACTTAAACATACACTTGCACCCACACACTCTCTGTCCAACTCACATAAAAACTCACACAAAATGTTCTGTTTTGAAATTATGTATTTGAATTCTTTCATGCAGGAGACTTGACACACACCCTCTCCCTGTTAAACCAGTGTTTTCAATAGTAGGCCAGTGAGCTCTTCTCTCTTGCATGCAAGGTGACGTGTGAGTGGACAGCATCCGTGTACAGCTCGCATGACTTGAGTTTCTGTGAGGCTGTCTCACTGACCTATTGCTGTAGGCGGGCCAGACTCAACCATATTGTTTTCTCCTAACAAGCCACAATATATTGATGACTCTTACTAACAGCAATGCACTCTTAGTGTTTCAAGCATTGAGAAAATTATGGGAAAAAATATGCACACACAGAGCCTCTATTTGAAATAGGCTGAAATCTGTGAGCCTGTTTATCTCTCTCAGCAACCAATTTATAGCTGCTCCAAGAAGGACATGAAAAAGTTGAGAGTTTGCTAAAGAGAGATGCCTCCTGGAGGTTTTATGTGGGACCAGGCAGCAGATTTGGCCCCCAAAGCCCAGTCTAAGCTGCTCCAGCCTGAATAACTGTCAGACTGTGATATGATTCACTCCCCTGTTGAGGTTGTGTTACTCCCACAGATGATATCACTCATCTCATTCTTCTACTGGCTGACAGCTGCACTACCAAGATATGCATTTTTAAGATTGAGAATACATAAATTGTTGACACCTGTATATGTGCTTAAACACACACTATATATATATATATATATATATATACTATACATTATACACCCACCATAAACACACACCTGGAAGTATTTGCTTATTCTTTTATTCACAAGCTGTCTTTCTCATGTCACCCTTCTTCTTTGTCCTTCTCCTCATCCACCCATACCTTCTACCTCAACCCCTCACCCGCATCTTTACTCTCAGAATGGGAACCCGGATGCTGAGGAGCTGGTCTACGGCCACTATGTGATCTGTAACGACACCCACGAAACGCTGCGTTTTGGCCAGGTGGACACAGATGAGAATGTGCTGCTGGCCAGCCTCCACAGCCACCAGTACAGCTGGAGATCCCACAAGTCCCCTCAGGTAGTGCACTCGCGCATACAGTACGTAGCCCAGGGCCTGGGAAATATCTGATGGTTCTCAGTCCTGTAGTGTAGGAGTTTTGAGTAGATCCACACACATATGCACGCTTAAACACACACAACTTAGCACTCATGTATAGTATGCACACAAAGGCATGAATGCACTCTCTCTACTGCACTCACATCTCCACTACATCTACAGAATAGTGTGTTAACATGGTATTAACACACACAGAAACATATGGTACGTACATAAACTTACACACACACCAGACCATGCAAGTGTTTACCCGCATACACATGCACTGCATCTGAGCACACACCAATGTATAAAGAATGGCTTACACATACAAATCCATACTCACTGACTTTAGCAAATTCTGTCTACAGGCTCACAAAGGTATATACACACACCAGACACACCGTGTGCAGCCGCCATCTTTGTGTTTCTGTAGCGCTCTCCGACAGTGCCCTGACAGCATTGTTAAAGAAGATTGATTATATTTAACCCTTTGTGGTTTTGAGGTTGAGTGGAGGGTGGGCTGGCGATCTGTGGCATATGTGTGTGTGTTTGGTGCGCACATGTTTCAAGACCCCCATGTGTTCCACGGAAAGTGAGACAGTCAAGCTTGAGAAAAGACATGGCCATAATTGCTCACAGTAAGTCAGTAAGTCAAGTTGTATTAATCACCGACCATGGTTAATCTTTGCTCTTACCTCACTCTCGCTTACACACACACACACACACACACACACACACACACGCACGCACACAAATGCACACACTTGGATAGTGGCAATCTGGCATATTGGCACAGTGGATACCACATCTCATTTTAGCACTGACTCAAAATGACCTCTGTATTCTTTGGATGTTTTGGAAGAAAGATGGTCTGAATGAGCCAAATATCATCATAGATGAAGAATGCGATTCCAAGATGGTTCTGTCATATGTTATTCCATTATGTGTTTGTGGTATATGAAATATGTGCTCTCAAGATGACCATGATTTGTGAAACTAGATAAATAAGAAATAGTGCAACTTTGCCAAAAACACTCAGCTAACTTACTGAGCTTGATGATAAAATGCCTGCCAATGTGTCCGCCTCAGCAAATTGTAGCACACACTCCTAATTACTTTTCAGGGTTATAAAAATAGTGACACTGATAAGAGAAAGGGTTGTATTTCTTTAATGGTTACTTGGTCCTGCAAGTGTGTTTTTGTAGCTCTTACAAATCAGTTTCCAGGCGGAGCCATAAGTGGTTGTGCTGTTTTGCTTAAGTCCCATGATGGCTTGGAGTGTCTAAAACAACTCTGATCATCACGAGCCATTGTTTCCCAGACCTCCTCACTCTCCTTAGCAACTTTTCCTCTTTCTGTTTGTGAGCATGTCCACTTCAACTGCAAGACCCTCCTCTTAACCTCTGACCCGTTGCCTATTTATCAGTTACATTGCCAAACTCACCTGCACTCAACACTTGATTCTTTAAGGCTGTCCATAAATTCTTTTTATACCAAAGATGTGAACGTAAAAGCTGAAATCTCGTACCACCCAGTCCTCTCCTCACCTCCCCTCATCTCCAAACCCTCTCCTATTATCTCCCTCTTTTTCCTCCACCAATGAGATACAATCTCAATTTACATAATTTCAATTTTCTCTTCAGTTGAATTTTGAAAAGCTATGGTAAACAACAGCTCACAGTCCCTCCAAACAGTGCCAGCGGGTTGATATGACATTTGTGTCCAGTCAGCTCTGTCCTCACGCTGGTGAGTTGTCTGAGCTCCATTCATAATAATAACCAATTTATGTTCCCGCCCACTTTTTTACATCCTCTCACCCCCTCCCCGCTCCCCTATACTGTAACACCTTTCAAGAACATCAGTAAACACCTTACAGTCTAGGATCCACACTGCAATTAGCTCAGTTATACTGGGGATATGCTAATGCTATGAATAGTATTCTTTGTCTTTTCTTGCCATGCACTGTGGGGATCCACAAGACACAGGCCAAAACATTTCAGGCCACACACCCATAAGCCATAGTTTAGAAAACAGAGCTGTACAACATTTCCTTGTCCTTGGTTTAGTCCAGGTCCCTCTTTATTCCTGATACCTCACCTCCATCAGGGGTGAGATCAGTCAGTCTCTGGCCTCCACACTGTTTTGGGGTCTGACTTGGACATTTATGCCTTTCTCTTAAGACTCTCCAACAACAGCACACAACCTCCCAGTGCTGTCCTTGTCTCTTTCTCAATCCCACATAACATAGTCCTGAGCTCTGGTGTTCAAGACCATGTTGGCTGAGCTCATTATCCCTTCTCTGGCTTGTCCTGGTGCTGGCCTCCGCCAGCCTGTCCTGTTCTGTCTTGGACTCTGGCTAGATGGAGTTCTTCTTTTTAATCTCCGTTACACTCCAGTAAGTGCTGTCCTCACATTTGGGATCATGGCCTTCAATTACCCCTGAAGCCTTGCTCCACATCTGGCCTAGTCTGTTCTTTGGCCACCCCAGTTACTTCCCTTTTGAATTAATACAGTTCAGTTGAACCTTTTACCTTCTTTACATCATCCATAGTGACTTTGCACATGACTCTGTCCGATGCTTTACTGTAGCAGAATTCCCTCCCTTAATTTTACCCTTCTAGCCCTTTGAAACACCAAACTACCATTAGTACCATCACTCTGTCCGGGGTCCATCTATCTCTACCATAAAACCTTACCCATATTACCCACTTTATCAGTATCAGTCTTATACAACCACACACACACACACACACACACACACACACACACACACACACACAGTGAAGTAAATAGTCCCCGCCCATGCTTTTCATGGCCAGTCTCCTCTTGTCTGGGAGGCCTGGGGTCTGTCGAGAAGGCAGGCCATCAGCCTGTCCTCATGGCTCTGGTATGATGTGTGTGTCCCAGCTGGCCTGTCCCCCAGGCACACACACTCACACAGCTACTAATTTGCTGTTGTAAAGTAATCTGTCCCCTTACTCTCTCTAGCAGTGAGAACTCACTGGACTTCAGATCATCTTGTGGAAAATGGAAGGAGAGAAAGAGATGGTGTGAGTGAAAAAGGTGGGGGTAGAATGCACAGGGAGATTGAAAATGAGGGTCACTCAGAGTTGTCAAGGGGGATACTATAGATATACTGCCATGTTCATAAAGGTCCCAAATTGTATAAAGTGAGATTTCCATGTGTTGTTTGATTATAAAGCAGGTCTAGCTTCTATATTAACACTGTGAAAGTATCAAAGCGCTCAGTCCACAGAGAAATGCACACAGCCTGTATTCAAAAACTCAGCCTTAAAATGAGCCATCAGGACTTCTGTAACTTTGTGATGCCACAACTGTACCGTCACTGCCCTCAGCCATGCCCCCAGCACAGCCCAACCGGACCCCCCATCCAATCTTGGAGGATTTGGTTGCTCCAAGTGTTTACCTGAAAATCTACTATATTTTTATTTGATCTGTACGACTCCTATTTGTGTTTTGTTTGGCCTCTCTTTTCAGCATTTAATCTTTTTAACATTATTCTTCCACCAATTGTTGGATAACTTTTTCCTGAAATAAGGATAAGCTGCGTGATGGCTTTGTCTCCATGGATACTGCCAAGAAAAAATATATTTTGTACATGCAGACTTCCACTCTTGCTGTCCCAGCTGCTGTATCACCCACCTCCCTGATGTCCCCAATGTCTCGGATTCTGCCACACTTGCTCCCCTGACTGGACTAAATGCACACACCAGTCGGGTCTAGCAGCCGAGGAGAGTGAGCTGGAGGCAGCGGGCTCCACCACTCCTGCATTGGACCTGGACTCTGCAAGACTGTGGAAGACATCCCAATGCCACCAGATGATTAAGGGTTCTGGTGTATAGCTCCACACCATTTTAGCATTTTAGTCCGAACCGTCTGTTTGGCTCATTTCAGCACAGCTACAATCCGTTACCAATGGTTGGCCCTGGCTATGCATCACTCAGAAAACACTCAGTCAATTGTGATTGGCTGATCAACACAATATGTCCGATTCTTGCTAGAGCTCTCAAGAGAAGCGTGTGAGAGGAGATGTAAAACTCTTGAGATGTTTTTGGTACCACAAATATATCTTCTTATGGATATCAAAACTTCAGATAAAACACTGAAAAAGTGTAAAGTATGGGACCTTTAACATTTAAAGACTGGCTTAGAGGGCTCTACAGCCAAAAATCTGTCTGCTGCTATCTTTCCCTCCCACCTTCCCCCTTTCTCCCTGCTCATGCACAAGCAACCCATTAAGGAAGTATAGATGAGGAGCTTTGCCAATTGTGCTTTATTGCCGTACATTAAATCCTTTAATCCTGTGTTAATCTCCTATTGCCCATACACACAGGCAGAAAGTGTCAGCAGTGATAGAGAGAAAGACCTTCCTACATGAACAGGCCTGCTGTTGTTTCAGCTTGAACTAAAACAGGGAGGCATATTTAAAATCCTGCAATCTCCTGTGTGTACTTTTGTGTGTCTGTGTGTGAAAGAGGAGTGCTTAATGTGTGTGATCCTGAGCAATCTAACTAGTGTACACTTCTCACAGTGTTGACTTACCTCAGAATATCTGTCACTTCTCTCAGAAGAACACTCAAGCAGAGTGTTTTTGCAGTGAAACGTGAACCTCGACTCAGGTCACACTCCCTCTCACTGCTCCTCTGTTTCTGCCCGTCTCCTCTCCACTCTCTCTACCCTCCTGTTTCTGCTGTCAATTATAACCATAAGATGCATTAAAAGGGTTGATTGAGGCAGTCACGTTCTTAGAGCCCGCTGTCATCTTACCCTTGATCAAATTCATGCCCATAAGTGCACACTCAGACCCACATATACACACTGTGATAAAATGTTTCCTAAGGCCTGGAGTCTATCAGGCCTCTCAGTCTAGTTTCTCTCTTTCGAGTGCAGCATGCCTTCACACCCCAGCGTTTACTAGCCAAGGTGAAGAAGTTTATAAACACACATAATCTATTATA